ATGCGTCCTATGATTTTGGAGTGTGGGTTCACATTCGCTGGGCTTTATTTGTGAGACTTTTGTAAGGTCTGGTTACAATGTGTCTCTACAGAAAATATACGTACTTGCTTCTGCCAGCACTTTTGGGAACGACAAGCTTGGGCCATTTTAATTTCTCATCTTGAAAACTAAGCCCTAGATCTGGGCAGACTGTGGGCATGAAATCTCAGGGGATACTCCTATCCCTTTCTCTCTCCCCATTATTTTGTTTTTTATTTTGTGGTTGGATTATTTTTTCTAGTTCATATTTTACTGAGAGAATAGTCCTTCGAGGTTCCTGGTCAGCCTCATCCCAGTTACCTAATATGGGTCCAGGGTTTTTTCTTCTGTCTACAAACTTAGATTTAATTATTTTGTTTTCTTACTTATCATATTTCTCTCTTATGCATATTACCACCACTTGTAAATAAATTATTGTGTCGTGTGGAATTCACTGACATCCTGTTACTTCACAGTATTACCTGTTCTATTTCTTTTTCTGGAAGAAGATGTAACCTCAAAATATATGACTTTGTTTTCTTGTAAAGTTGATTCATGTTAACAATTACATCTCACTTTTAGTTCTCAAAGAGAGTCCTGCTTTTGATATATAGAAGTGAGGCTCTTATAATTTGGTGATATCTGGGGTATCATTCCTTTCTTTCCTAAATTGTATTTGTTACATATTAGATATACTAAAGTTTAAGATATTAAAAAGTATTTTTTAAAAAATACTGAAGTCCTTTGAGAAAACTATAAACTTTCAAATGTTTCTGTCAGGAGAATGGAATTTTTATAGATATTTTAAGCAAGAAGAGATTTAATATAGTGAATTAAATGGTTACAAAATCATAGAGGAGCTAATGAAGTGGGTTCTAGGTTTGGACTCCAGAAACAAATCTGAGAGCTGGAGAGAACAGTCAACTAGGTAAGCTGTCTCTCTTGAAGCCATTGGAACTGAACTGAACTGAATTCGAGAAGCTGGAATCAGTATGCTGTCACCACTGCCACTGCTTCTTGGCATTCAGAAGGCTGGAGAACAGTTACCCTCAACTGTAACTCGCTAATTAGGAACCAGGAATCAAGAAGCTGCTGCTTCCTCTGTTGCTGATGCACTCATCTCTTGGCACAGAAGAATCCAGCAGGTAGACACACTGGAATATAGAAAAAAAAAAAGCCTCACTTTTTCTTGTCCTTGATAACCAGCAGAAACAAACAAACAAAATAGCAAAATGCCCTCTGCCTCGCAAGCCTCATAAGACTTCGTCCAGCGAGTGTAACCTAATTTGCAACCAGAAGACTAGGTGCAGTTGACCCCTGGGATGCATGTCTTTGTCAGCTTACCATCCTCTCTAATTAGAAGCAAGGTAGAGTGGAGGTAAGTAAGCCATTACACAGAATCTGTTATATATATGCGTGTGTGTCTGTATGTGCATGTGCACATATATATAAATTACTATTGAATTTTTAAAAAGTGGATAGTACAGTGTATTTGTGTTGTAGTGGCAATTTCATTTTGTCTCATTTTACAAACTTGTACTGTAATAAAATTCAGCCTGCAGTTGATTTATTTAAACTCATGTGGTTACAGATATACTGATAGAAAAATTTGAGATGTTAATAATGGAATATTTCATCTTTAGACTTAGCCAGACTATCATATTCTAGTGTTAGCACCTTTTTGATGTAGCACCCTAGCAGTGAAAAGAATTGGGAGGTACACAGTCCTAATATCTGAATATTTAGCCAGGGATACACCAAAGTTTGGCTTTAGCCTTGGTGTTCAGCCAAATTCAATTATTTGTTTTTTGGGTGGCTGAAATTAACTAACTCAACATTTAGGACATCACCAAAATTGTGTATGAAATCATTATGTAGGTTACCATCATATCTGATCAGTGTTAATGATTCCAGTGATAAAAATAAGGCGTTACATTTAGATTTGTTCTTAGCATCTGAGTATTCACTTTCAGATAGAGGTAAGCATTCCAGATGGAACCAAATAAAATGTCATGAGCTTTCTCTAATCATTCAGTCAGAGTATAAATTTGTAACTATTATTGCAAAGTAAAATGTTGTAGTAATCAATGATTATGAAGGCTGTTTTATGTAGAAACTATTAACAATTTTCTAATTGAGTAAAGAGACTGACAGATAATATTAATGTTGAGAGTAAATGCTTGATAACTTGTGATGAACATATGTTCTTTTTGAGTCAAGAAAAAGTGTGGTTGTTATGTGGCATTATTGTGGTAATTACTACAAAAATGGTACCTAGAAGAGGGCAGCTATACAAAAAAACCCTAAAATACATAGTATGGGCTTTTGAGCAGTAGGAAGTTGAGAAAACTGTTAGCAGAGGATGGAATCAGTGAGGAAGCTGCTTTATTAATAGCTGTTCTGAAACATTTGATAAAACAGCTGCCTGTGCTACTTTGGAAAACAGAAAAGATACCCAATGAATTTTTGGCTCTGGGCAAGGGTTATCTCCAGGAAAAATGTCAAGGACGCCACCTTGTGGTTTTTAGCTGCATGGGCTAAAGTACTACAAGAGAGTTGTTTTTTTGTTTTTGTTTTGTTCTGTTTGTTTTTAAAAGGCTGGTTATATTGCAAGGTGGAGTTAAAGGTAATATAGAGAGCTAGAGCTACCAAATTAGAAAATAATAATGTTGTCTTATCTCCAGCCACTCTAGCTAGCAAAGTCTCTAAGACATGAATGAGCACATATCAAACATCAAACCTGTCAGATATTTTGCTAAAACTTCTGAGAAAGGTGGTACAGAGTAGATCTCAAGTGGAAAAAAGCCTAAGGGTGTGGTCCCACAGATGTCTGATCCAAAAGTAGCAGTAAGAAAATCTAGAGAAGCACATGATACCAATTATAGGTATGGACCATAACCAGATACAAAAAGTTCAAAGTTTTAAACAGTGATACTAGCAAAAACACCAACTGCCTGATTAAAAGATGGGTGAAGCTATAAAAATGCCTCTGGGCCCTTGACTTTCTTTGGGTAGGAAGCAGCCTGAGAAAATTACTCCGCTGCAAACAAGGATCATTTATTAAGACAGAATAGAGGAAGGGGCTGGAAAAAGGAGGATACCTCGGCTAGTGTCACCAAAAGCGGTAGAGAACAGTGAGTCAGGGAGCAGCTCCCAGAGAGCGGGATTGGGGTCTAATTCAGGATCATTTCCCCACTGCTAGCATGGGATATTAGAGTTGTTATGAACTGGTTGGTATCTATGCACCTCCATTCTTCTCCCTTTCCAATGGGATTGTTTATTGTGGTTTTTTTTTTAATTGCTGTGTGTGTGTGTGTGTGTGTAGGCAGAAGGGCAGGCAACTTTTTTTTATAGTCTCTGGATGGAGAGAAGCTGATTTGCACGTGACATATGTCACAAAATCCAAGACTTGAAGGCTAATACTAGGTCCCCATGACATCAGGGGAGTGGGGGGGAGGTGGATGCGGACTCACCCCACATCCCACTACCTTGTTTCACCTCGTTGTTGCCAGCTGGGAGTGAAAGCCCCGATCCCCACTGAGTCCTGCTCAGACACCAAAGAGGGTTTATTAATTTCCTAGGGCTACTGTAACAAACTATACTAAATTTGGTGGCTTTAAAAAAACAAATTTATTTTTTCACAGTTCTGGGGTCAGATGTCTCTAATCAAAGTGTCATCAGGGCCACTAAAGGTTCCACTCCCTCTGAAGGTTCTAGGGGAGAATAACTTTATGATGAACATATATTCTTGTCTCATCCAGCCTCTGGTGGCTCTAGATGTGGCTGCAGAACTCCAGTCTCTGCCTCTGTCTTCACATGGCCTCCTCTTCACCTGTCTCTCCACTGTGCATCTCTTACAAGGACACTTGTGATTAGATTTAGGCTCCGCCCCCAGATAATCCAGGATGATCTCATTTTGAGGTCCTTAACTTTTATCTGCAAAGATCCTTTTTTCAAATAATATCACATTCAAAGGCTCTAAGGATTTGACAAGGACTTATGTTTTGGAGGCCACTATTCAAATACTACAGAGGGAAACCTGATGGAAGGTATAGATGGAGGCTCAGCATCCTGCTGGCCCTTGGTGACACCAGGGGTCAGGGGAGGGCAGTGAGGCTAGACAGTGACTAGCCCTTCTTTGCACTAGCTGGTTTTTTGTTGCTGCCAAGCGAGGTGGAAGTTCACTTTGCCACTGGACATCACTGACAGTATCCCAGGAGGGATCTCAAAGCACTGCTACCTGCTTCTGCTGGGTGGAAGATGGACAATCAGCTCCCTGTTTGGTCAACCCGCACCACCTGTAATCAGTGCTGTCTGCTTCTACCAGGTAGAAAGTGGAAGATTAGCTCTCTGTTCAACCTTGCCAACACCACAGGGTGAGGGTGTCAGAATACCACCACCACCTGCTTTTGTGGGACTCAGGTGAGGTGAGGTGATGTGGGGTGGAAGATCACCTCTCTGCTCGGCCCCACTGAAACTGTAGGTAAGGCGGTGCAATTTTTAGGTTGCTGTTTGGCTGGCATTGTCAAAAAGATTTTTATTCTGGTAGGCCACCCTTTTGTTCATAGCCACTCTTATGGCTAGGAGGAACAGGCTTCTTCTTGAAGCTCTTGTTCCTGCCTAATGGTGGCTCCAAGCTGGAGGCTTCTGCAGCACCCTGTGTGGAATATATGGGAGGCACTAAGGAAATGCAGAGAACTCACTGTATGTCATTCCTCCAGTCCCAAAGGTCCTAGGAAGTTTGCCTTCTTTCCACCTCTGCTTGAGGCTTCTATGCTTGTTTGTTGTGCTTTTGGAGGGTCTTACTTGTAAGAGGAAGGGTGTGGGCAGGATGGGCTACTACATCTTGGCCAGGACCACAAATTGATTCATGACTCAGTTTTAAGTTCTAGATATCATTAGTCATAATTCTAGTGGAATTCCTTTCAGGTTTTATGTTCACATTTCCTACAATTATCAATTTAAGCAGTAAGTGAAGGAAAAACAATTTAAAATATATTTTAATCTTTAATTAATGCTGACCTCTGACTGAATATGCTTTTTCAATGATTCTTTTGCAGAGCATTTTCCGAGGGAAAAAAAGCAAAAGATGACAGAGAATTAAGAACATCTGTTATTTATCATTATTCTTATATGTGATTAAAAACTATTTAATGCTGTTCTTTTATACAATTATGAGTTCTTATTTTCACAAAGTACCTTCAGTAATTTGCACAAGAATACTGTCTGGAATATTTTCACAGTATTTATGCTTATGGACTTAGAAGTAAACTGCAGGAACTGCCACACATGATCTTAAATGGCCTCATTTCTTCTTTAGGGGTGATGAATGACCATTATGATGACATCCGCGTCCTACTGTAGCTTTGTGTGTCTTTATTCCATCCTTTGCATTGAGGATGAAGCTTACTAAATTGGAAGGCATGGTTGCTTCAATTACTGATGGGGACAGTTTTCCTCTCATGTCTGTCTGGACAAACATCACTAATTTGGAATGTGCTGGGTTCCTGTAAATGAAGAGTTAAAAATATGAAGAACTTTTAGATTTATTGCATTTACAAATTTATAGAGAGCAGGAGTCTTGTCTTATTCTCTCCATAGTGCTTATCATAGGATACTAAAGGAAAAAAAAAGAGTGATTTTTACACTCATAAACATTTTACATAAAAATATTAAGTAGTCAGACCGTGTGTTAAAGTCTTCAGTTTTAGTAAGCGTTTCCTTCCTGTCATATTGACTTGTTTAAATTAAAAAGTAATGTATGCTTCTGAATATTTAAATAATTTTCATAATTATTCCAAACTTTCTGTCCCCAGATACAATCACTACTTATAATTTTGACTGTATCTTTTCAGACTATTGTCTATGTATATACAAAGTAGCATACATATGTACATGTATGCACCCCATATATACACACATGTAGATTTTTGGTTTTATAAAAATGAGATTTTTCTATAACTAGTTTTATTTTCCTCTTAGCAGGATATCATGTCCCTCTGTCTGTGTCAATACTTATAGATCAGCTTGTTATTTTTTTCTCATATTGTGAGGTTTATATCTGACCAATATAAAGTTTTTATGTGTCAGTATCTTTTACTTATAAAATCACTTAGCAATAATTAAAATTTAGGAATCTGTGAAATGATACACATTAAATTAATGTACATGTATATACAGAATGTGTATTTTATGTTACCATTTTATTATCCCTAGACTGGCCATCTGTAGGTAATGTCTAACTTCTTATTTCTCCAGCTCTTTCCTTATCTGAATATACCTACTGGATGTCTCATTCTGCAGCTATCTGTTCTCAGTAGGTAATCTATTGGAAAAAATTCCCTCAAGGTAAAGCATTCATTGCTGATAAATCTATGTGTATTATAAAGAAATTTATTTTTAATTCACAAAAATTCATTAATAATTCACAGAAGTGACTAATGGAGAAATATAAAACATTAGGTTAAGGTTAACCAGGGATGAGGCGTGTGGAATTTTGTGTATGTGTGACTAGTCACAGAAACCTCAAATCGTACTTTATATGGGATCATCCTTTCTGATTATATTTAAGATGAAAATACTTATAAAAATTATTTAAAGATCACATTTAAGGGTAATTTTCTTTCCAACAGAATATGCTGGTACACATTTCTACTAATGAGTTAGGAATCCTTTATTAAATCACAAACTGAACTAAAAAACTTAAAATAAACGCAAATAACACTTACTCTTGCAGAGGTGAACATATATAGCCACAAGCATGGTTGTAACCACGGATATAATTTGAAGATGGAGGATATGCTGGAAAGTCCACACTTTTAGCTAAGTGATTAAAAAAATTAAAATTAAACCTATTTCACAAAGGTAAAAAATTCTATTTCCAGTAGCATATTTTAAAAAATGTATGACACAACTTTTAATTTAACTTAGTCATTCTCAGCATTTGTTTTATACATGTACATGTATGTTTGTACATATGAATGTATACACAGGCCAAAACTGAGAAAATGCTTGTCTGAGCACTATTGTCTTCTTACAGTTTTTCATGCTAGAATTTCTAAAGGTGCTGCTTTTACACATAGGAAAAACTGTTAAAAGTGTCATTTAGTCACTTTCTGAGATTTGAAGCAAAAGAAGACACCACAAAGAAAGGAGAGTGGGTTTATAGATTTCTTGTTAATCAATTTTTAAATAAAATATTTGATGTGTTTATTTGGTCTGTCAAAAAGATACTTTAAATGCTGTTTTCTGCCAATTCCCTAACTTTAAAGTGTAACTAAAAATGAGTAGAATCTGTTTTAGGAATTATACAGCATAACTATATTGTATATGAATGTAGAAGGTGATTTGATTACAATTAAGTTTATAATTTATGTACTCTTTCTAAAAATATTTTAAAATATTTGTTTTTCTGTGCATTTGAATCCTGCTCTTTATGGAGAAGATGGATTTTCCTATAAGCCATCAATTCTGAAGAAAATACAATGGTAAGCACTAGCTTATGTCTAGCTTACGAGACAAATGCGGTGAATGAATTTTCTATTTTCATGACCTGTTCATCATCTTAACAGAGCCTATTATGGTGGCATAATGGTACTGCCAGAAGTGATACTAACATATTTTTTCTGTTTAAAGTATGGAGATTTTGTCTTTAAAAAAAAAATTTGTTACATTCCACAAACAAATACGGGTCTTTTTTGAGGCATACTGGGTGGTAGTTAGGACAGATTTTGGAAAATAATGAAGACTTGAGCTTTAATTCTGGTTCAGCTACTTGCTGTTATGTAACGTATTTTCTATATACTTCGGTTTCCTTACTAAGTGAGATAAAGCATGCACAATATTTAGCTCAAAGCAAGGTACCTAATAAGCTAAACAATAGCAAAAGAAATTTAAGAAAACATCAGTATTCATTGATAATTCATTCAAAGAAACTGCTTAAAGCAAATTCAGTACTGATCACTGAGTGACTGGTTACTACTATTTGTTGATTTTAACTTCCATACCTCTTTTTTACTACTAAAAATGAGATAGAAATAGTCTGCTTTCAAAACACAGAAAATAACAGATCTACGATTCAGTCAGCATTTTGTGTTATAGGCAGTAAATTCATTTTTATCTGCCCTCATTTAAAAAATGAGACAACTAAATGACAACTACTTGAAACTACATGAGACAACTCCGTGAAAGTGATGGATGTCAGTTATCAGTGGACTGCGGCAGGGCTGACGGCGTGAGGGCTGTTGGCGGGGCTGTGACTCAGTCTGGACTCTGACACTTAGCACTATAGATATAGAGTAACTGAAACCTTGTTGGAAAATAATAATTCACAACACTTAACTGTCTCTGTTCTCAAGTAGTTAACAATTTTTGGTGAGATTAAACTGAAGCATGCAGAAAAACAGGGTCTTAGCCACTGCCCTAGAAATCCCTTCACTGTGTCTTATCTTGAGTTGTCTGGGTCTAAAGGTCTGTGGATATGAACTGGTACCTTTTAAATGAATAATGCAAGTTAGGAAATGGTTACACATTGGGGTTTTACAGAGTGACATATTTTGGGGGGCTAAGGATATATCAGAACCTCCGGTTTCTGAAAGAAATAGAAGCACATTTATGTGTAGACCCACCTAGTGAAAATTTCTGCAGGAGTTTTATCAGTTACTGGATATGCCCATTCTATGCAATTCAAATATAAAATATGCATAAAGATTAATTTTGTTTTTTAGTAGTTTTAAAATGTATGCTCTTAAGTTTTAGCCTGCAAGTATCTATCAGTACTCAGTGCTCAGGCTCTATGCTGCAAAAAGGCCAGGCAGTGCCATAATCATCAACTATGATGTAAATGGCGCCTGCAGAGCTGGGTAAAACACATCAGGCTTATTTACATTATACCTGTATTTATTAGTCTAAGTAGCTTAAAAACAAAGGATTGAAAATATATTTCTCCCAAAATATAAGTTAAAGGAAAAACATTTATTAATGACTCATAGTAATTCTAAAATGTGGGCAAAATGTTTCAACTTACAACTGATAACATTCACATTCCCTTCGTAGCGCTTGAAGTACACTAAGTCGATAAAGTCTCGGGGGGAAATTGAGCCCATAGCAAAACTCTGTGTAATGCTATGACATATGAATGTGTCCTGAAACAAATCAAACCATAAAGATTGCAACAATTATTTAATATCCGTTCTTCTGATTGCTACCACCAAAATTTCACTGCACCAGGTGGTCTCTGTTTGGAAAAAGCAGGGCTTTGAAGTTTTAAACTTATCACCAAATCAGCTTGCATTTTCAGTGTTAAAGGAACATTAGATCTATAATTATAAGTGTAAGGCAACAAAAGCAAAAAGTGGGACTACATCACACTAAAAACCTTCTGCACAGCAAAGGAAACCATCAACAAAATGAAAAAGCAACCTACAGAATGGGAGAAAATATTTGCAAATCACGTTATCTAATAAGGACTTTTTATAATTATAAATGCGGAAAATTCAAAAGGAAATCCTGATATCTACTCTTTGAAATTTGAGATGAAGAAATTGAAGCCTAACAGCTGAAATCACATGCACAACTAGAGATAAGTACAGAACTAGGACCCAGATTTCCTGATTCCCAGAATAGTGCTGTTTCTACCACTCCACACTGGCTAGGTAATATATTTCTGAAAAATATATTTATTTAATACCTATAGGGTAGAAGACCTAAAATTAAATGACCAATGTTATATGCTGACATCTAGTCAAATAGGGAGGGTGTTGAATGGCCTAAGTGCAACTTTCTTTCCCATAGATAAGCTCCCTTAGCCAACAGGATCAGGCACAGTTCCTACTTATCCTGGAGTAGTGGGTTTCATTTCCCTGCTAGCCTGGAGAATTATTGCAACAACTAGTTGCAACCTCCTGTAGGAATCAGGGGTCACCTCAAACTAGATACTACAAAACCTGCCTCGCTGGTTATTCACTCTATTACTGAATGTAACACACATGTTATACTGCATGGCATGATGGGTCCTTGAGAGTTTAGCCAAGCTACTCCATGGTATTGTTGCTTCAGCATCCATTTTGTTTGGCCAAGCAGGCTGCAGGGACCTTAATCCGACACTAGCCCTCTCATGCAAGTGCATGCCCTAGATAACAGCTCATACTCACAAGCAAATGTAAGTTCCCGATATGACTTTCCCAATAGCCCTGTGTTCAACAGTCTCCCCCACCTTCCAGAGCCCTCCTTCCCCTTGAAACCCTTAGATAAGACCCCTGTAGAGCTCACCAAACTCCTGCTCTTTTGGTTTGAATTAACTGATCAGGCCTTAGCCTGGGAACCCCAAAGCACTCCACCCACAGACCCTAAGAAAGGCATGTGTCTCAGGTTCTGCCTCTCTTTGCCTGTAACCTACCCTGACCTCCCTGGCTGGCCCCTTGAGGCTTGCTGTGTATTTCCTCTAGGACCTGTGAGTAATAAATTTCTCTACTTCAATTTCTCCTGTCTTTTGTTGAAAAATGGCTCACCATCCAGCACCCTATGCCACTTAATAAATGTTAATTTAACAAAGTCATAAACAGCCCTTCCTGAGGTGTGATTATTAATAAACTATTAATCTCATTTGTCTAGTATCAAGGATCGTGTTTGACCACCCCTATAACCCTAGAGCAGGAATCTCTCACCAATGGGGTGAATGAGTCAATTAACACACACCACTGTAAATAAATACTATAAATATTCATAGGAAGGTAAAATAGTTCTTATAGGGTAGTGCTATTCAGAGATACTGTGGCAAGTGTAAAGGGCCTGGAATTTGGAATCAGGAGATCAGGTCCAAATCTTCGTTCTACCATGTATTGTTGGCTGTGGTGACCTTGAGCAAGTCACATAATTTCTCTGATTCTGCTTTCAAGTGTTTTGATGCCAAGTCTAATACTCTTTCCATTATTACAGCTGACTTGCAGCAACAGCAGAAATATCTGAAATGCTAATAAAACTGTATAATTAGTATCATATGATCATGAATGAAACAGCCCAATGTTTGGATTTTCATTTGTGATGGATCATGTTTCTCACACTGAATGTTCAAATCCAAGAGGGTCATGGACATGTGTGTTTTTGTCGATATGAACTTCAAGGCCTGTCAGATGAAGCTGACTCACCTTTCTGGGCTTCTCCACAACTTTTCCCCATCCCCTGACTTTAAGATCAGTTTAATAAAAGGAGGTAAAAGGTAATGTACAGAGTTCTACATAAATGAAGCGAGTGGCAGATTTAGTTGTGGGAATTTGTTTGTTCTGATGATTGGAACATGGTTTGGAGACTCAAAAGAACCAAAGACCCAGTGAATTTTAGAAATACAACTGTGAAAATTATAAAAGTTTGCTTTGCTCCAATATTCACCTCTTTCTAATAAAGTTATTGGCCAAAAATGTAGGATGCAATTTTTAAAAACAGCTTACCAAGGTATCATTTACATACCAGAAAGTGTAACAGTCTCAATAAGAGGTCTATAGTATGTTGCACCAAAGTTTGGAATCCCTTCTCCGACTTCTGCCCTGTTTCTACCTCTTTTTACCACCTCTCATTCTTCCTCTCTCATTTCGTTCACTTTGGTGTCCTCCTGAGCTTTCACTCTACCCTCACCTCATACTGTTCATTTCTTCTCCCTTGTAAGCCCTACTTGCCTCTATGACTTTAACTTCCTATGCCAATTACCTGTATTTTTGTTTTTATTCTCTCTTCATCTCTGAGATAATGTATTTCAGTGTTTCTAAAACTACTACAATCTATGTTATTTCACACTTTATCTTACTCTTAAAGGTTACATGCTGTTTGTTCTTAAGTCCTTACAATATGTGTCTGCATTATTCCTATTATCTAATGTATTAAGGCTAATATAAATCTACTGACTTCCTATTAACAGGCATGCTTAATCTTTTTTCTCCACCTCATGTAGGAGAATCCATGAATTCATCCCCCCATAATCAAAGGCACACATCTTCAAGACTGCTGAGCAGATTCAGAATGTAGTATGCATTTAAAACAGGATGAAGCTAAATGGAATTAAACTCTTGAATAATAAAGGAAGTTTTAAGGCTTTTATAAAGATTTCAGCTCAGTTTGAATCAATAAAATATGAAGGGTCTAAATAATAATATAGATTAAGAAACTTAAATCACTAAGATATAACTAAAACTGTATTAATACAATAAAAGTCCAATAGTAAACAACATATTACCGGATCAATCTTTTGCACCATATTGTACACCTTCAGTGATTTATCCCATGTAACTCTGTTTTCAGGTTTGTAGAGGAAATCAGAGAGTTTACATGTTGATTCTGGAATTATTCCTTCAACACGATATCTACAGTTAACAAAATTTAAAAAATTCAAAATTTAACAAGTAGTCTAAGTGGAAAATATGTTACCATAGTATAAAGTAGACTAGCAAATAATGGTAAAAAAAACTTGAAGGTAAAGTCAGCAATTCAAAACACTAATATTCAATTGGAAGTAAGCAAGATTTAAATATGCATTGCAATAATTAATATAAATTGTTTCAAAATGTATTTTCCTGCAAATTTTATTTATATTTCTAGAGTTCTTTTTAAAAAGGCTACTTTCACTTAGGATTTTTCTAAAATCTTTCTCATAAATATGTATCTGCTATTTTATCATAAGCCAACAGTAACTGATGAGAAGTTTGTGTGGTTTGTGTGGTTATACAGTATTGTGGTTCTAATTCTTAATTTAAGGATGTAATGTGATCTAAATCAGAGGTGAGCAAACTTTTCAGTAGAGGGCCAAATAGTAAATAATTTAGGCTTTGTGGGCTGTACTGCTGCTATTCAACTTTGCTAGTATAGCAGTAAAGCAGCTATAGACAATATATAATGAAAAGGCATGTCTATGTTACAATTAAACTTTATTTATAGACACTGACTTTTGAATTTCATTTATTTTTCACATGCCAGGATTTGGGTAAGTAACTAACATTTTTGTTTATCCATTAATGAAATTGGATTTGCTTATTCATCAATGAAATTAAGATAAAACTAGATAAAACCCACTATTTAGCAAAAGGTTAAACTAGATTAAAACCTACTATTTAGCAAAAGGTTATTAAATGAAAATGAAGTATGAACAATATTGGCTATAGTCTCTCTCCCTGTTATTCATTCTTCCCAAACTAAGGGACTAGGTTTAAGTAAAATCAAATTTTAAACCTCTAAAAAGTTAAAATTTCTGGAGGATGTGAGATAAAAAAAAACCAACTGCCATTATTACAGAAAATAGTTGTCATATTTATGAAAAGTTCTTTCTCTGCACCTTTTAGATTTAGTAAACAAGGAATTTATTAGACTTTTTTGTTTGTTAATTTCTCTTTAAAATGTCAGGTGGTCTCTAATTTTCTCTATGATATTCTCATATTTTCTTAGTAAGGTTTCCTTCCTTCAGATGTGGCTTAGCTGATTGGCAAGCATCTCCCCAGCCATAAACAGATTAATTAGCAAAAGGGCTGAAGTCTTATTGGCTCAAGAGACTTAAGTATAACTTCTGACCCATCACTAACTGAACAATAAGGTATTCTGACAATTTTAAAATAAAATCATACTCATTGCTGGTGCTCTGGAAGAAGGTGTGTATGCCCAAGGCTGTGCCCTCTGAGTAATGACTGGTGATACAACTTCCATGCTACTTGTCCCTGGCCAAATGCAGGGCAAAACCATAAAACCCCCTGTGGGTTTTATGAACTGTGAAAACAGAGAGAGGTAGGCAGGGGCTAGATAGTTTGCATGATAAAGGGTTTGCATTTTATTTCAGATGCAATGGGAAGCCTTTAGATTTTAGGCAGGAGAGAGACAATCTGACTTATATGTTTTAAAAATCTACTTTGGCCATGGTGTGAAGAATAGGATGTAGTCCACTAAGAGAAGACGCATGGAGTCTATTAGGAGTTACTGAAATAATCTGGATGACAGATGATGGTTGCCTGCACTAGGATGGTAGCAAAGAGAAAATGAAAAGTAAATGACTTCTCTCTATACATATCTAGTCAATTTGAGCTTCTATTAGAATCCAAATCTGAGATCAGTGATCTAATATCTAGGCCAATGTTTTACAAGCATGTTCTTGGTCAAACATTTGGAAAAGTTTGAATTAAACAACTATCTTTACTTTAGGACTTCTCTGAACTTTAAGAGTCAATCTCCAAGAAGGGAACATAGTCTGGAGTGCTTTGAAAAATTTGTTTGACATTTCATCCCATTTCCCTGTACAGGGCACTTTGAAGAATTACATTTCTCAGATACTAGTTGGGTAAAGTATATCAGAACACACTATACATCCCAAAGTGTACTGTTTACACTCAAGCTGCTCATTCTAAATTCATATGCATATATTTCTTCCTTTACTTACAACTTTTTAAATAAAGTTTATTTAAAGGGCTGGACCTAGTAACAAATTTCATACATAAAGTATATAATAAAACTATTCTTCTAGTAAACTGAATATTGTAAAAGTGATGGGAAGTCACGTCCAAGATTAGGTTGCAGAAAGATTTTGGCTTCTGTCTTTTTTGCTTTCTTTTGCTGTCTCCTAGAGCCTTCACTCTGAGGTAAGCAGACTGCCGTGCTGTGAATAGCCCTGTGGAGAGGCCCATTTGTCAAGGAACTGAGAAAGTCTTCCAGCCTAGAGCCATCCTGCCACCCACCATCTAAGTGAGAGTGGAAGCAAAGCTGCCCTCACATGAGACCTGAATTCCAGCCTATATCTTGAATGCAGCTTTGTGAGGATAGCTGAAGCAGAGGCACCAAGCTAAGCTACACCTGGATTCCTGACCTGCAGAAACCATAAGGTATAAATGTCTGTTAAGTCACAATGGTAAGGAGGTAAGGTATTGCGCATCAATAACCAGTACATAGTATATATAAATTTCACTTAAAATGTGAGTGTAGAAGGTTCCTTTTGTCTGTGTGTGTTTAGGTTTGCATGAAAGAATAAATATCTCTGGTCAAAAAAATTTCAGTGAAGCTTTAAAACAGCCTAATTGTGGCTATTTCTTAAATGGCTCTAGGTATTTTATATAGCACTAGCTTGCATGTAAACACTCAGGAAGTATTTGTTGAATGAATAAATTCCAAGTTTTCTTTGATGTACAGGTTGCTGTCTAATCCATAAGACCCCAAAACTACAAATATCCAAAAGTTTATTCCCCTTGTGTACCTGGGCTAGATCTTACCCACTCCCCTCTCAGTCTACTTTTGAAAGTGCCACTGTGAGAATCATTATTTAGATAAAGACAGTGATGGTCTTCATGAAAATTATTGAAATGAATAGGAGAAAGCATGCCAACTGAACACAATGAATAGGAGAAAGCATGCCAACTGAACACAAAAACACGAGATAAGTAAATTCTAGTCAGATGAAAAAAGGGCAAGAAACACAAAATGAAGTAGTTGAAAGGAGTGAATTCTTTAAAAAATTGAATAAAATATGGTTTTCTTAACAACATATGATGATCTCATGGCATTAATGGGATATCATGAGCAATAACTAAATGAACAGCTCTTTAAAAAATAAGGTTAAAAATGTCAGCAGTTTCCCTTAGTGTATTTGTATTTGAAATAACAGGATCCTCAAAAATATCCTTAAAAGCTGCTTACTGAAAAAATTACATATATCAGAAAAAGAAATAAATTGGGGAAATAAACTATTCTTAATGGTTCATTTAATAGAAAAGTGAAGTGTTTAAAAGACCACAAAATATTACTGTAATTACCAATCTGCTTTTATAATGATTGTTTCTTGAAGTGGATATTTCCTATCCTAATGAATTATTCACTAGGAAAGATTTTTTTTATGATTGTCTTCAGGTTTGAAAATGATTAGATGGTACATAATTGCTCTATTTTATTAATATCAGTTTTCAACTGAGTCACTAAATTATTAATTTCTATTTCCTGATTATCAAATAATGTATTATCACTAATGAAGCTGCATTAAATTCTACATACATCAATGCCACTGAATTTAAAATAATGATTGTAAATAGAAAATTATACTCACAGATTTCCATGGAATTTTTTGGAAGCCTTGCTGGAAACGGTTATTTTTTTCTCAAAAGGGAATAAAAATTCACAGATAAATTAGCTATCACATACAGAAAAATAATAAAACAAAACAAAACAAAAAACAAAGATAAAAATATATTTTTTGTTTGTAAAAAATATTTTAAAAATGTCTTTACAACAAATTGCTTCACCCTAAAAAACAAACTCTTGAAACAAATCTAACTTGTTTTCTTACTGAAGTTTTAACCACTTTCCAGCCCGATGTATCTTGACCGTAACTTAAAACGTCTTGAGCAGTTTGTTGGGCAAGTGCCTTATAGTCCATCTACCTGTAAAGTTTTAAAACCAAATGATTAATAAGAATGATTAATAATCATACAAAAAGTTTTAATACTATTGCTACAGCACCCATCACATAGAAATGAACAGTAATTACTTGTTGCATGCATGCATGAATCCCTTCCTCTTTATTCACTCTTTCAAATGAGAAAACTGTGATGCAGTACACAGAGCAAGCAGGCTTTGGAGTCAAGGAGACCTGGGTCAAATCCTGTCTCTGCCATTGACTAATTGTGAACCATGTTATTTCATATTTCTGTTTCCCCATATTCTCAAGTTTTCAATTTGGGATAATACCTAACCCTGTAAAATTAATGGGAAGATTAAATGAGATAATGAACTTAAATGTCCTACCCCATTCCTTGGCACATAATAGTCATTCGATAAATCATTATTATTTCTAACAGCTTACTCATGCTTCCTTTCACTTGTGAAGCATCATAATCTGTTGACCAGGTGTTCTTGGGAATTATGCTTTATAAAATGAACAGCAGTGGCAGTAAATGCTCTGAACCCTAACTTCCTCTCCAAAGGCAACTCCTGTTTTCATCTCTCCAACTTAGCTGCAGTCATACAAATACAACCAAGTATCTTCATTAGTGATAACACATTTAATACATTAGTGATAACTCAGGGTCTTTGTATTTGCTGTTCCCTCTGCTTGTAACATTCTTCCCCAATATGAATGATTGATTTCTCTTCATTGGTGTCTGTTTAAATGTCACCTCTTCAGACAGGATATCAAGTTCAAATCAATTCAGTTTAAACACATTTACTGAACCCTTCCTAGGAGTTAGCGACTGTGGTAGGTGTAGTGAAAACAGTTGAGTAAGGTATTGTTTCCGCTGTGAATGACTTTGGGAAACTGGAGTCTCATTGGTCCTTTGGCTCATCATCCATTTTTCAGTAAAGGGAAGCTGGCTGGTATGGTGGAAAGAATGTGACAACACAGAGCTGGATTCAAATCTTGCCTTTACCATTCACCGCCAGCTATGTTATTTTGGGTAAACTGCGTAACTTTTGAACTTCCAATTTTTTCATCAAAGAGGTTAGTTTCTATTCTTAAAATGGACATTTAAAGCTATCTTTTAAAAAGCACCAAAGACTTACCTCAATAAACCTTCTTAAAGTTTATCAGAACGTGTCTTCCTTAGCTCTCACCTAAATCTCTTTAGGTTGGAACATAAATCTATTTTCTCTTGTTTAGTTCTACCACAAGGAATGACACCTAGTTGACATTCATATTTGAAAAGCTTTCTTAAACCATTATAACTCCCCTTTCCTAGTAGATTCTAGGTTTCTTTACCTTTCCTAAGAGATCTATTCCAGAATTTTAATAACTATTGGGACTTTTCTCCAAATCCTCATTGAGATCTCCATATTTCTTAATCTGTGAAAAAACAAAGTGGAAGTAGAATTACTTTGATCCATGAATTATATCAATATATTTGATAATTTCCTTTATATTTTCTCAGTGTCCTTTATTTACAATTTATGTCCTCATTAGGAAACATTTGTTATTTATGTCCCAAGATGGAATAAAAAGATGAGAAACATTAGATACCCGATGGCTGGTGCCTGACCCCAGCTTGTCTCAGCATGTAACACAGTTCTTTATTTCCTATCACAACATAGTTGATATTGACTGAACTAGGAATTGCGTAGGATATTGGAAAAGACCACTGAATATAAACTCCTGCAGGTACTTTGTCTTACTCATTTTCAAATCACCTAGCACTTACTGCCCCAATAAACATGTTTTATTGAACCACTCAGCTGAATTTTATAGCTTTTGGACTTTTTCGTTTACTAAGAAAAAGGGGAAGCTTAAGTTTAGTGGGCTACAAAGGGTGAAAAGAAGAACAAACAGCAAGGCTAGAGTTGTATTACCTGGTGATGTAACATCGGGTGACCTGGAACATTTTCAGGTGGAGTAATCAAGGATATCTTCACCCACTGGGTCAGTGGAAAATAAACGTAAACCAATGCTGAGATGGCATCTTTTTTTGATACACCACTTGATTGAAACCGGATTCTTCGCACCTCATATCCTGACCCAGCTTTGTAGACGGGTTCACACATGTTGTTAGTGGGTCTTTACATCTGTTTGTATTATCTCCCTCATTTTGGGATGCCTGACCGGGTCCCCAATCCGTGCTGGGTTACTGCCATTCTTCCTGGAAATTAAGGTCCCCAAGGCGTTTGTTAAATCTCATCCCTGGCCAAACTCCCTCTTCCCATCCTGCATGTCATTTGAGTGTGAGGAACTGGTGGGAAGCCCAGGAGGGAAGAAATGGGGAAGGCACTGAGGAAGGAGGAAAGGAAGCGGTTGGGGGAGCCGAACCCCAGCAGAGATCGTGTCTTAGCCCAGGGGAGGTGCTGTGAAAGCCGGGAGGCCGAGCTCACCTGGAAGGACTGGGGAGGTGAAGCTCGATTTAGGCAACTGAAATGTCAGTCGCAAGCGTCCCAAGTCTCCTTCCCCACCCGGTCCCCCTACCCTCCCCCCCGCGACAGCCACGGGAACCAGCCCGAGGATCAGCCCGCCATCTGCGCAGAGCGGCGGGGAACAGCTGTGACGCGGGGCGGGGCCGCGTGCGTGGCCCGCGTGCGTGGCAGCGCCGCGGAAGTAGTCCGGAAGCCCCACCCCGGAAAGGTGAGGAGGGAGAAACCACGCTCTTTGGCAGGCAGTGCGACCTGACGCCCGCAGCGTCCCGTGACCCCTCCGGCCCTCGCCCCGCGTCTGGCTGACACCTTCCTCCCGCCCCTCACCCCCGGCGTCGGGGCACCACGCATGCGCACTGCCAGCCCGCGCCGGTCGCGTTGGTTTGAAAGCCAGCGCGGGCGTAGCGCTCCGCTGTGACGGCGGAGGAAGCTGCGAGCGAGCAGATCCTGAAACGCTGCTGTGTCCGGGGCGGGGATGCTTTGTCGCGTATCCCGTCCGGTGACGGGCCCGAGCGTTTGGTGGGGAGTTGTGGAAGTGTGCGTTTTTATTTCTTTTTGGACCTTCGTGGGTGAGTTCGGCCGGAAAAGGGGGTGTGTTTTCGAGGGGGCGTCGCATCCTTTGACAGCCCAAGGGAAAGGCTGAAGGAAGGGTGCGGGCAGGGAAGGAGAAGACGTCTCTTGCGGGAGGGAGAGCGTTGAGGAGAAGACGTCTCTTGCGGGAGGGCAGGGAAGGAGAAAACGTCTCTTGCGGGAGGGAGAGCTCTGCGGCTAGAGGGCAACTTTAGGGCAGGGCTCCCGGGCGTGGGAGGGTCGCGGAACGGGGCAGAGGGGACCTGTCCTGGGCCTGAGGGGACTTGCGGTGTCGATTGTAACGGGCGAAGAGGGAGGGGGCTTGGGCTTTGGGGACCGTCTGCTCACGGTGACGCCAACGCAACCTGATGAATGGTTTCTGAGGAATCTGTGTCTGACTCTCTGCCAGGCAGCTAGGTCCCCAGGGGGAGGGTGTTTCCTAAAGGAGGGCGGCAGGTTTGAAACCAGCGCCCGGGAGGGGACAAGATGCTGTGGTGCAGGGGTGCCATCAAGCTTCGTTTTCCAGTTTATTGATTCTTTTTCTTGTACACTAGACAGATGTTCAGTTTTATAATAAATCACAGAGCTATTATTACTAAGAGTAGTTCTTAATTTCCTGTGAGCTCTTCCCATTGGTTATGTAACACTGAACATTCTCTTTTTTAATCAAAGGTAGTTGAAATTTCTTGCCAGTCGTTTAACGTTCTATTCGGAGTGATGTATTTCTTTTGGCGGATACGAACGGTTACTGAAGAAATGGTAAGATACGTGGGATTTGCTTCTAAATAACCCTGTGGGAGAAGTGGGTGGATAAAAAGTTTGGGTATGTTGGTAATTGTTTGAAGCAGGGTGATGGGTGCATAGGGGCTTATAAATTTTTTTCTACATTTGTATACTTTTGGAAACTTTCCACAATTAAAGTTCAGTTGTAGATTTTCTTTTTGCCTCCTGTGAATTAAAATAAATGTTATTACCTCCTTACTGAGAACCGTAATCCAGCAGCTTCACCTTTTAGGGTTTTGTTTTTGTTTTTCAGTTTTGTAAAATCAAACACCTGTACTGTGTTTGAATAAGGGAGAAAACGTTTGGTCAAGCTTATTATCCAAGCAATATTTACTTGAGAAAATTTAAACATCATTAGTGAGTTGGGTAAAGAAAGGACAAAACTGGCTTACTCTAGCCATTTAAAAAAATAATTCATCTATATTAAGTTTATTGGAGTGACATTGGTTAATAACATCTATTGATTTAATTTTAAAAGAATGTCATGTACTGAGGTAGTGACTGTTCATTCTGTTATTTCTTAGGTTTTCAAATATAGAACCTATTATTGCTACATTAAGGTAAACAGAAATTCTCTCCATTTTAATAATGGAAGACAGTAAAATGAATACATTGTCAATTTCCTAATTAAGTATCTTTTAAAAGAGAAGAGGGCTGACTCTCTTTCACATAAGAATGGAAAATAGGGCAGTACCAAAAATGAAGGTTAGAAAATTATTATTAACAATGTTATTTTAGGAAAAGAACATTTTGGTAGCTCATTTTATGGTGTGACTTGTAGTTTCTTTATAGATAGATATTGTTTTGTTCTCCCAAGACCTTGGCGGTGAAAGGGTTGTCTAAAGTTACATCTCAGCATTTACAATTTTGAAAGTAGATATTCTCCACTGTTCTTTCCTGTTCATAATACCTCATTTGATGCCTTTAAACATTTATGGAGCACCTGCCATCTGTAGTGCATGACGGTAAGCTTATGAATTTAAAAATATTCTGTATAGGGGAATGTTAGGTATTGTGATGTCATAGATTATGTCACCATAAGAAAAGACTGTATATTGGTAGTTTTTTAGGAGTTTAAAAAAATGTGAGGACTATTTCCTTGGTCCTTTCTAGCTATATTCTCAAATAATTTTCGTATACATAATTCCAGGCACATAGTAAATGCTCAATTAATGTTTTCTAAATCGATGAAAGAATTCACAGTAATTAAAATAATAGAAAATCCATAATATGTTTTGTCTAAAAAGATATATAGATAATGGATTTTATTCTTTAAAGAAAATTATAAAAAGTTTACATATTTAGTAATTTTTCTGTATGTGGCCATTATTCCTTTTAGTTGGCACCTTAACCTTTTGTTTTTTTGTATTACAGTTGTTTCTAAGAGAAATGAACAGAAATAAAGCATTCTGAGGAAGCCATGGCAAAATTAAATACAAAACACAGAGTTTGTTCTCAGGAATCTTCAGTATCATCTCTGCTGGCCAGCTGCAGCCTGAGTCGTAGTAATTCCTCTGACCCTGATGGCTCTTTTCAGTATAAGGATAAACTGTACAGTTCTGCATCTCAGGCTCTACAGGCCTATATAGAAGATTTTGATCTAAGCCAAATGTATCCTGGTGCAAGCACTGGAAAGATTAACATTGAAAAATGTTATACTAATATGCCAGAATTCACCAAGTATAATTATAAACCAAACAATGGTATGTTTTTATTCTTTGCTTTTTTGTCCACTGACTTAAAGCATTTAATCTTGGAAAACTAGATGCTTTGGTTGGTATTCTTTTAATGTAAAAATGACTTATAAAGTTGAGGTCTGGATATTTTTCCTAAATGATTCTGTAATTCTCTGGTTCTCGGGGATTTTCAGCTAAGATCCCCTTTTGTCTTTGGCGGGAAGCTGATGAATATAACTAATAATAGCAGGTGGCTGATCCTAAACTCTTAAGCCATTTTATGATAGCATAATGCAAAGAGCATTCATTGACTTGGTGGTTCCAGCTTTTATTAACTAGCTAAATGATTTTCAATAAATCTCAGTTTCTCTGAGTTTATACTTGATCAATTCCAATTGATGGAATAGGACTATATTAGACTTCCTGATGTGTATTTTATAAGATGTTTTTCTTGAAAATGCTTTTATGAAGACAAGTTTGGAAAATGCATGTTAGTAACCCAGTTACTAAACACTTACGGAATAGCCCTTGCATGGAAAGTTTGCATTCAACTCTTAGAAGAAGGGTGTAGGCACTATATTCCAGAAGAGAATTAGAACAGCTGTTCTCTGTGTTAATGCTGCTGCAGAGTTAGTAGGCAAGAAAGCAAATTATTTTCTACCTAGTTTAATCATATATTTTTTTTCCTGTGTTGCAGCCAGTATTGAATAAACAATATTAATGTGAGTGTATTAGTGTGTGTTGGGTATGTCTAGATGAAAAATGTTGAAGAAACAGTAAATTAAAAAACATGGGAAAATATAGGAGGTTGGAGAGAAAAGTGTAGAAATTAGTTCAAACAAATTGAGATGTGAGGGGAAAAAAGCACATCCTAGTTTGTCAATCTATACCTTTTATACTTTAAAGCTTTAGTGAAGATAAAGGGAAAGTGGCAAAAATGATTCTAAAATTCTTAATCCTCATTTACTATTGAATATTGTGAAGTATTTTTATATGTGATACAGGAAGATAAACAGAACTATGCTTTGTTTTTCAGCTTTTGAAAATTTTGATCACCAAAAAAGCTCCTTGTCCTTACCTTATAGAAGACAGACTATTAATGACATAGACTCCATTAGCCTAACAACTGATGATCTCTTAAAACTTCCGGCAGATGGATCATTTTCTTTTGCTTATATTGGACCAGGTCACCGAATTGGCAAGAAGAACAAGAAATGCATTGGAAAGCTGAGTTCATCGGACACTGAAAAGAGACACAATTTTCAAGAACCCTCTGCCATGGGCAGGAATAACTTAGTTACTCCTGTTGTATACACAAATATAAATGGAAAGCAATGTGGTAGGCTAAAAAACCCAAAACTTGTGAATAAGACTAATAAATGCATTTCTGAACCACCTTTATCTTTTCCCAAGAAATCATCTTTTAAACACAGTTCAGAGAACAGTCTTGAAAAGAATTATCCAAGATGGCTCACTGGCCAGAAATCTGATCTTAATGTTTCAGGAATAACTAGTATACCTGATTTCAAATACCCAGTCTGGCTTCACAATCAAGACTTGCTATCTGACACAAATAGTCCAAGGATTTATAAAATATTTAAAGAAGATCAGTGTTCCACTAGACATAGTTATCAGGCACAAAGAACTTCTCGGCTTATGAGTAAATTAGATTGTTTTGATTATTCTTTTGAACCCTCAAACATTTCAAATTTTTTGAGTGGTGATAAAGGATTAGTTAATGAATATAAATATGATTCTGCACATAGCCAGTGTCAATGTGAGAATCCACTTCTCCCAGGACAATCCAAAAAGCCATTCAGTGGTAATTGTTTTGTTTTGTTTTTTTAGAACTAAAGAAAATGCTGTAAATTTGACTGAATATCTAGGAGATTTTATGTTCTTGATGTAATGATCAGTTGATACTTCTGTTTTGAATTAATGGTCTTCATTTCTGTAGCATTTTGTGACTAGAAAATGTCTTTACTCCCCTTCTTTTGAAATGTCACATTTTAACAATTTGCTGTTAAAGATATGTATTATTCCAAATTATCTGAATTCTAGTTGACTTTGTGAGATTTTGCTGTTCTTCGCTTTTTTTCCTTAAAGAATTAATGTAATTTTTTAAAACAGGTGACAAAATTGAATTGCTTATCCTGAAGGCCAAGAAAAATCTAGAGCATTGTACTGAAGAATTACCAAAGTCTATGAAACAGGATGACAGCCCTTGTTCATTAGATAAACTTGAAGCAGAAAGATCATGGGAAAATATTCCTGTTACTTTGTAAGTAAGTTATAATGGAAAAACTTTAGTTTTCCAAATGATAAATATGTGAACATCTAATTTATTTTTAAAAATAATTTAATGATAATTAGCAATGATAATAACATGGTAATTCTATAGAAGGTAATGTTCAGTGTTTCTTTGCTTTATATTGCATTTTTTCACTTGTTACCACAAGGTGGTGTAATGTTTCAAAGCTTTAGGTACATTATGTAACTTTTGTCTTTGTTACATGTCCCTTTTGTTGCACTGTAAAATGTTGATACATGTTTAATAAGAATTAGAAGTAAAGCAATTATTTTGTAGATGTAGGAGTACTATGAAATTCTTGTTACCTTTTATTTTTTCTCTGTATTTTCTCCATATATTAGAATTATTCATTTTTTTTCTTTTACATTTTACTCTCAGTCATTTTCCTTAAATGATGGTCTATTTTTCATATGGTCTGCTGTATAATATTTATACTGATTGTTTTCATTTGTGTGCTTAACCTTTCTATGACATAGTTTCTCTGAATAATTTAAAAACTATTCACCTAAATAACCGAGTGTAAGCGCGGAGTATTGGTTAGATAGAAAAATTTTTTTAGTGATGTTATTATATCTAGACTCATCAGAAATGCATTCTTGGTAACCCTATATCCTGCCTTAGGTTCTGGTATTTATTAATTTCAGTTGTCTAAACTTTAATTTTGTTATAGATGGAGTTTATTAATTCCTGGATTTTTTTTTTTGATTCTCAGTTAATTTTTTTTTTTTTTTTTTTTTAATATGGACACTGACTATGATACTGGTTAGGAATCCCAGCTCTCACTTTCTTGCTGAGACCTTGTACAAGTTATGTCTAATTTATACAATTTCTTTGTACAAGACCTTTTTCAAGTTCTTCTACTTTGGGGCTGTGAAGATTACAATTGATGAGAAAATAAATATAAGGTACTTAGAATAGTTTCTGACATATAATGATCTCTCTTGTAAATTGTAATAGTGGTGGTGATTATCCAGAATATTTTTTTTCTTTGTTTAGCTTCATTTCTCAGTTGTTGGTTCAATAATATCTTTTTCAAATAGGTCAATAACCCATTTAATTCTTACATTTATCTTTTTTATTTTTTATTTCTTATATTAGTCGGTCGGTGTATTTGTAAAGTATCATAACTGCAATACTTTTGTTTTCAATTGGAACCACAGTGGGCAAGCAAATACCAGAGATGGTTAAGAGTAAAATTTTCGAATGCATTTAATGTGTTTTGTAATTAGATAATGTAACTTCTGACTAGTATGATTATCATCATCAATAATTTGGCCCAGTACCTTGCAAACAGTAGTTGATTTTTAGAGGATTTAATTCATATAGTGATGAGTATGTGAGAAGAAGGAATATACCTGGCCTCAATGTGACATTGGGAAATTATTATCAATCTGTCATAAAAATCAAAATCAACCTGGAAGTACTCAAGGTAGTATTATACTAAAAGATCGAACATAACCACAACCAGATAAGAATAATATAATGAATAATATAAAGAATAATATAATGAATCCCTAGGTACCCAGCACCTATCTTAAATAATCAGGTAAATGCTTTTGGTGATGGTGGGTGGATGTACAAACTCTTTTGGTAAAGAATGAGAGAAAAAGACTACTTAGGAGTGATAAAAAGCTCATAGTGAATTACAAAATCAAATGAGTCAATAATGAAATGCTGCTAATTAAGAAAAAAATTAGCATTGTGACATTTAAATGTTATAAAAATATTCTTAGATATCTGAGTACTTGAATTAGAAACATCTCATATATAAAAGAGGGATAGAATAAGTTTATTCTCTGTGACAAATAGAATTTGGTTTTGGGAAAATTTCTTTCGCTGGGTATGCCCTTTTTTCCACTACTTCTTGAACATCAAGAAAGAAATTAACATTTATTGAGCACCTATTTAAGGTACCAGTTACTTAGAGTTAATTTATGCAATACTTCTATGAGATAAATGGATTACAAATGTAGAAATTAAAGTTGAGATAAATAAGTAGGTAAGGTCATGTAGTGAGTGGGATTGGGATGTGAACTCAGGAATTTGAATTTCAAAATTGACTCTTTTGTCACCCTAATTTGTCCTGTATGTTAATGCTAGTTCTGGAGGGAGAGAGAAGTCTGTCTTGTTGCTTTGACGTGGAAGAGCATCCATATAACTGCCATCCCAGTAGAAAATCTTCTAAATTTGTGGGGGGTATGAGTATTATTATTGGGTAACAGTGTTTAATTGGAAAAATGTACTGCTTATTTCAAATAAGTGAGTTTTTGGAGCACGGCCTGTAGTTGAAGGCTTACTTGTTTAGTGGAAGACTATTGTCTTCAATTTCTTTATAGTTTTTCCTTAAAGCTTTAAAGAAGAAGCAAGGTGATAGGGAAGGTTATCTCTGACACCAGTTTAGAGAGATGAGTGAATTACCAAGCAACATTAATATGAATCATATCTATAATGGTTAGTTTTTGGTGACTATTTGTACTTAAATGATAACCATTCAGTTATATACTATCTAATTTTTTTAAGTTGGGAACTAATTGCTTTCTTGTATCTTCAATCCTGTTTAGCAAATCTCCTGTTCCTGTTAACTCTGGTGATAGTCTTCAACAAGCTTCAATGGCAAAGTGTGCGAAAGGGTACCTCGAAGACTTTTTAAATAATGATAAGCAGGTGGGTGAAGCTAAATCTTTTTAACTTATTGAAAGATTACTAATAGGTAGATATCGATTTCTAAGTTCTTTGCATATTACAAAATAAAAAATGGTCCAAATCCCTTCTTTTCCAACACACATTCATGCAACTATCATTCCTAGAATTTTTGATTATTTTAGTGTTCTAAAGTAGAGGGACCTGGGATTGAACTCTACAGAGCCTAAATTGTTATTCCATTTTTTTTTTTCTGGAAAACATAAAACAGACCATGATAGAGTAAATTATATTCTTCCATAGGGCAGTTGATTATTGAGAGTTGTTTTTCTAAGGTACAGCTATAAATTTCTGTAATTTAAAATAGGGCAATTATCCAATTTACAAAATCAGAATATGTGAATCTTGCAAGTAACCCCCAAAATAAAGTATAAATGTGCATATATACACATAAGAAATGATATATAATTTGATTTAGAAATATAAGCCATAGTGTTAAATATTAAAATAATACTTTTGGGATCTTAACATATGGAAGATTTGAGAGGGTGAACATTCAAAATAAAAATTAGCTAAAAAATTTAATAAAATTTCTGTTTTCTTCTAGTGAAATTTATTAGAGAAAGTAGAGGCTGTCAGAATAGATCTGACCTGAGAGCTCTATATGAGATTCTGTAACATTCTGTCAGACATACAAATGTTTAATAACACTTATTAAACATTCATTAGTGAATGGCACAAAACAGCTCATATAATCTGTTCTGCGGTTTTCTTTTTTTGGTATTCTGATCACTATTTTGCATGAAAAGTTCAGTTAAGGCAGACAGCATATTCCAGAGGCAGGCTTTTGTAATCCTTAAGTTTGTCATCAAGTAACCAGAAATTCTTCTAAACCAGTGGCTGGATGCAGATCATTTCGAGATGCCTCAGGTGCTGTCTCCAAGGGTATGGGAGTATAAGCCTAACTGGATTGTTATGCTCCATTTCTTTTTTTAAAATTTTTGATAAAATGTACATAAAATTTACTATTGTAACCATTTTTAAGTATACAGTTCTGTGTAATAAGTACCCTTACATTGTTGTGCAGCCATCACCACTATCTATCCATCTCTAGAATTTTGTCTTCTTTAAATGAAATTCTGTACCCATCAAACACTGACTCCCATTCTTCCTTCCCCTCAGCCTCTGGCCAGCATGATCCTACTTTCTGTCTCTGTGAATTTGACTATTTTAGGAAGCTCTGTGTCTTAGTTTGCTCAGGCTGCCATAACAAAATACCATAGGCTGGGTGGTTTAAACAGAATTTTATTTCTTAACAGTTCTGGAGATTAAGGAGCTGGCTAATTCTATCCTGGTGAATTTTTTTCTTCCTGGCTTGTTGATGGCTGCATTCTCACTGTGTCCTTAAGTGACCTTTCTTCAAACTCTCTGGTGTCTCTTCTTATAAGGACACTAAACCTATGGTATCAAAGGCCCACCTTTAAGACCTCATTTAACTTTACCCTCATATAGTCCTGTCTTCAAATACAGCTACATTCGAGTTTAGAGCTCCAACATGAAATCTGGGGACACAATTCAATCCATAGCATCATATAACAGGAATCATATATTTGTCCTCGCAACTGGCTTATTTTACTTAGGAGAATGTCTTCAAGGTTCATCCATGTTGTATTGTGTCAAAATTTCCTTCCTTTCTTAGACCGAATAATAATCCATTATATGTATGTGCCATGTTTTGTTCACTTAGTCATCTGCTGATGGACACTTGGGTTGTGTCCACCTTTTTGCTATTGTGAATAATGCTGCTATGACGTGAGTGTACAGAAATCCGTTTGAGTCTCTGCTTTCACTTCTTTGGGTTTATAACCAGAAGGGGAATTGCAGGATCGTACGGTAATTCTGTGCTTAATTTTCTGAGGAATTTTCGTACCATTTTTTTACAGCATCTGCATCATTTTACATTTTCACATCATTTGTTTCCTAAACCCTGTTTGTATAGCTGTGGAGAGTGTTTTTAAAAAGTTTTTAGGCATTGTACTTAACTTTGAATCTCTTCACCAGTGAGAGCCCACTTCTAATATTCTTAATGCTAGTTAACAACTTCTAGACTTGAAGTTTAAATAGTATTATATTATACTATATTGTCTATGCTGAAATATGTTAAATAACAGACATTTCAAGTGGCCTATTTGCCCCTTTGTGGATAGTTATCAGGACACAGCAACTCACTTTTGTGGCTAAGTGTTGTTGCTTTCTTTGGATGCAGGTAAGATCAGTGATAATTGAGGTATGAGTGATTTATAGGTAGCAGGGAATGTGTGGCCCACGAATAAGTGGAAAACCAGCATTCTTTGTGTGATAACATTTAAAAGGGTGCAGAGAACAATATTTGAAATTCTAGTGCTTGCTCAGCTGATACCAGTTTCATTTACACACCTGAAAAGAGCATGTTGGCTTACTTGCTCTGGGGACCTTTCAGTTCTGAAAATCTAAGATTTTAAATGTACTAAATGAATGCATGCAAATGTAAACATGTACTATCCATTTTAGAAGAGCAAAGACTAGAAAGACTATGCCAACCTGTTAATGACTGTCTCTAAGTAACTACTTCTGGGGACTGGGAAAAGGGAGGTGATGAGTTACATATCATTTCAATTTTTAAAAACATTTTATTGATATACATTGTTCAGATTTTTGTATTAATTTCATATTGGGGAAAAATAATACAGAATATAACTTGTTGCTCCTGACTTTGGATAGTTAATCATTCATCTGTTTTAACCTTAGAGCTGTACCCTTTCTGGAGGGAAACATTATGGCCCCGTTGAAGCCTTGAAGCAAATGTTATTTAATCTTCAAGCAGTACAAGAAAGTTTTAATCAGAATAAAACCACAGAGCCAACAGGAGAAATTAAGCAAGTAAGCACAAACTTGATGTATGAATTGAGATATGTGAAGAGATAAGTTTTCTTTCTAGATCTTTTTTGGTTTGGCCTCTAGTTTTGTGTTAATAAGCATGCCACATAATACATGTTATAGAGTTGGACTATTTTTTTCAGAAAGTAATTTACTCAAATACTATTAGATTTCTGCAGTTGTATAGCCCTGAATGGATTGTTTTATTTGGTTTATTGTTAAAAGTACATCTTATTTTGATATAATGATATTACAACTACAGTGTGAAAGGATTTTAAGAATTGGTTTTTTAATGCCCTACAAAATTATTCTGTATAGTCCAACTTGTATTTATAATTGGGGAGATGTGGAAAACCTTTTCCAACATTAGATTCTTCACATACCTATGTCATCTGAAGTTTAATTTTATTACTATGTATTTACTGACTTTTGAATACAGTTATGTAAAGTTTTATTTTAAAACCATTGTATGTCTATGTGTTTCTTAGGAATTCAGAAATCTGTTTCTGCTTTGGGCTACTATTCCATAAGGATTGAATTTTCTTCACAGTAGTATAGTGTTTATGAATATAGAGTTTATATTCTCCCAAATCCGATTGTAAATTCTAATTCTGCCACTTTCTAGCAAGTGCAATGTTTGTACCTTTTTAGTTTCAGTTTTCTCTTTTTTAAAGCAAGGTTGTTGAGAAATTGAGACATTATTTAAGTACTTATTATAGTGCTTGGTAGCTGATGAAAACTTAATAAATACCTTATTAACAAATTATTAAAACTTAATTATTATTTAAAAATAATGATACCTTGAACATGCTTTATTGACATTTTGTTGTTGTTGTTTAGTAGAGCTTTATAAAATTCCATATTAATTACAAATGAGTGGATCAGCTTTTGGGAACTATCACAGCCTGCTCATTTAAGTTGTATTTTTTAATTTTTTTCTTTACATTTTAATGATCATAACTTTAACATACAGTGCGTAATCCAACCTTCTTTTCCCTCCCCTTTTAAACGTTATTGAGACATACCTACTTTAGTAAAGTCATAATTCCAAGCCAAGATTTGATATTCATTAGACATACATTTAGAAGCATACTTTAGGACAATTGAAAGATGAATCTGAGTAGTAGCTGTAGTATTTTTAGAATAAAGAGCAAATAAAAATATTTACTGCTTTACTGAAAATTATTTGCTAGAATTATTTCCTTGGAAGTGAAGGCAATGTTTTTTAATGTTCTTTTAAATATATTAAATAACATTTAAGTTTATAATTATATGACATTTTCAATATTTTGTTGTATTTGGTGTTTTTAATAATAGGTTTCAGAAGACGATTTCTCTAAATTACAATTGAGGGAAAGCATGGTTCCTATTACTAGGTCACTTCAAAAGTAAGTATTTTCTACTAATTTCTGAATATGTTATGGATACAAATTTGTTTTATTTATCCCTTTGATTGAAATTAGAAGGTTGCAGGATGGAAATAAGTTTTAAGGATATAGTAGTTATATTTAAGCTTCTAGAAACTTATTGTTTAATCCTGAAGTTTTCTCTTAAACTTCTGCTATTTCCTGTTTAAAATGCTCGTAGGACCTAATGAGATAACCTTAGACACCTAAAATATAATGAATGTGAATGGCTTAAAGATATTCTCCTTTCATTTCTAAACGACAGCAACAATTTGAGATCGTATTGGTGTGGATATCCTGGAAGAACCACTTATTCATGAAATGTGTTCTTCTATATTCACTCTAGAATAAATATAATAATCATACATGTGTCATTATTAGACATATCGCCACAGAAATCTGAAGTATATATAACATCCTGGACATAGAGATAGGTCTCAATGCCCCTAAGGGTGTTAGTCCACTTATTTCTTATATTATTTTACATTAAAAAATGGGGAAGAGTACAAGTCTTTCCTTATGGGCAGAAGGGAAGAGTATTTGTTTATGAGTTTGGTTGTGTGAATATGAAGCGTCCTCAGGAGATGATATACCGAGCTTAGAAATGCTAAGGTTAAAATTTTTTTACTCTTGTAACTCTATTTAATTTGGCTGTAAGTGGGGCTAAACAAATACTGTCTACCTTTTTGTCTCCAGAATTTGCTTATCTAATGAAAGTGTAGAAAAGTAAAACATTAGACATGTAAACTTATGATTAATTGCCACGATATATACATATACATTTATAGTTTCCATAGTTTAAAAAACATATCTGTGCGATCTCCCCGCTCCATTACATGATTTATAATCTGGGTAGACATAATGGGTAGCTTGCCATAGTATTTGGGTATAGTGTCCCATACGTTGTAGAAGTCAGTGAATAAAGACAGTAACATTTATTGAACATTTACCAAATGTTAGTGTTCTAAATGTTTTTGAATGTAATTCATGTACTCTTTACAACCCTATGAGCTAAGTACTGTTATTTTCATAATACAGATAATGGTAATAAAAATATCAAGTAACAACGTAACTTTTGCAAGGTTACATAGCCAGTAAGAGGTAGCACTGGGATTCAAACTGGACAATCTGATTCTGCAACCTGTTTTCCTGACACCTCTCTCATTAATGGTAGTGGTGCATTATCCATTTAGACTAGGTACAGTACCTTAATTGATTCTCTAGGATAAAGATCTCATTCTGTTTTAAAATTTAAAGTAGATGACCTCAAGCTTTCCATGGTTTTTAAAAGTGTTGCTATCGAACTCCTATCACAGACTTAACTGTGTTTTCTGAGTTAAGTGCATATCCTAGAAAATAAACACTGAACTTTAATTAAATCATCACAAAAATTGATATTGATTGTAGGTGCTTTTACCATTTGCTAGACTTTTTTTAATAGTACTAACTTTTGTATAGCTTAGACACTCAGTAATCTTGCCTACATAGAGAACGCCATTTTTGTAGAGTAAGATTTATGTTTTGTTAGATGGCTTTTAGTGCTGATTCTGTTAGGTTAGCTGAAACAGTCTTAACATGCCTTTCTTTACTTTGCATTTCAAAAGTATTATCAGTAAGACATTTGTAATGTTATGAAATCAGTTTAGACTTACAAAAAAGAATGTTAGTACATTTTTTCATTATTTTCCATCTGTCGATTGACATTTTTTTAAGGACAACTTAAAATCAATTCAGTCTCAGAATTCCTCTTACTAGACTGCAAAATGTTCTGGTTAGGTGATCATCTTTGCATATTTAAAGATAAATGGACTCAACTTCTTCAGATGTTATAGGTTATACCTTAGGTGCTTTAATAACCTTTCCTAGGTAAAAGTCCTATTATGGCTCTCCTCATGTCTCAAATGACAGTTTTTGTGTGTTTTTAACAGTTTGAATTACTAACCAATTTTAAAATATCTTTCATTTGCCTTGGGAAACTCTAAGCTCTTAATACAGGTTTTTCTTACTCCCTTGGACACTCAGTTTTCTTATATTCTCCCATTAAAAATAACTGCTCTCTAGGAAGTCTCATTGGGCGTGAGGTATAAATGACTGATAGCAGCTTAGAATGTTACTTTTTCCAGAGGGATTTTGCTTTTAGTAGAATCAGATTGTTACTGTTCCGTATCCCTGTAATACTTAGCATTTATATATTAGGAACTCAACAAAAACTTATTAACTGAAATCTCCATAAGAGAAATTTGTCATCTTTAAGCATATGAAAAAAATGTAGTTTTGAGCAAGGGCCTTTGTAGAATCTTTTATTATTGCATGTAAGCCATCAGTTATTCTGCCAAGGCTGGCTTGAAGAATGAGCAATAGCATATTGCTTATACCATAAAAGTGAGCAGTAATAGACGATTGTAAAATCATCAGTCATCCAAAAATAATTTGTATTTGGCTATGTTGAGTGTATAATTTGGAAATGAATGTGTAAGATTTTTGTAATTCTTAATACTAAAGGCCATACTGTGAAAACAAAACTTAGTGATAGCTATAAAGTTGTCCTTTTTATCAGCTTTTTTCCTGTTTAATTTTCTGCTCTTCATTCTGTATTAGAGATACATAGAATTATCTCTCATACTTATAAAACATGATCCTAAAGCAACAATTTTTTTTTAATTTAATGTACTCATACTTTTTTTAATTCTGTGGAGTGGTAGGCAGTTTGTTCTCAAAAGCCTGTTATTCAGTTCTTCCTGGATACTAAATGGTATATAGACCAGTAAACACAGTATTTAAGAGAGTAGTCAGTAGAGCAGTACTAAAGGCACTAGGAAACCAAACGCAAAAATGTATCAGTGAGTAAATTAAAATTTAGCTAAATTGCCTTTATATAATCAGTTTGTTATTGAATTTCTATGGACTGATTTGTATGTACTTAGTGCTCACCAATAGATACAGTATCACAAGAAATGAGTTTCTTTTTCTGTTTTTAAGGTGAATGATTACTCAGCGTTGTAATATAACCCTTAAATTAGTGTTTACCCAGTTAGCCTGTTTTTTCACTTTTAGAGAAGAAATCAAGAATAATTTCCTTCTACAATTTTATCCTCCACTTCACCCTACACGTACCTTTGAAATTGTGATCAATTTTGATAGCCTCTTTTTTCTAAGTAGATTGTTTAATTCTCAGCAGGACAGGTAGAAGTTAAATGAAAGGAACTGCCAGCTGATTGTGTTGTGGAGGTAAAGGGGTAGGGAACTGAAGATTTCATTTCTATTTAGTTTTTTTATTCCTTCCCTTCATATCACACCCTTCCCCTCCTCTCTTCTCCTTTCTCCCCGACATTTTTTTTTAAATTATTTTTTTTATGATGTCATTGGTTAACAAAACCCAATAAGTTTCATCTGTACACTTTAACAGTAAGGCATATATATGTTTACACTGTGTGTTCATCTCTCATAGTTAGATTTCTTTATGTCACCACATATTTGACCCCCTTTACCCGTTTACCCGCCTCCTCCCCTACTCTCTGGTAACCACTAGTCTATAGTCCATGTCCATGAGTCTCTGTCCTGTTCATTTGTTACTTTTAGGTTTATTTCCCACATATAAGTGATAGCATGTGATTTTCAACTTTTCCTGTCTGGCTTATTTTGCTTAGCATGATTATCTCGAGGTCTATCCATGTTGTCACAAATGGCAGTATTTCATCTCTTCTTATGGCTGAGAAATAATCCATTGTCTATATGTACCATAGTTTCTTTAGCCAGTCATCTATCATAGGACACTTCAGTTGCTTCCAATGACATTGTTTTTTAAAGGCATAAAATAAGCTACATAGGATTAGAAAGGAAACTAGTTATATGGAATAATAGTTATAAAAATATTAGATTTCTAATTAGTAATAACTGATTATTAATGCATTTAAAATAAAACTACATTTAAAATAACAGGTAAGTTAAAATTTGTTTTGTAAAAACATAATTTTTATGAAGACCTTTTGCATAGCTTGAATAAAAGCATTAAACCATGGTATGGTGTTGATCAGCAGACAGTTTAGAGAATGGGAATATTGGAAAGGATTGATGTATGAGTCACCAGTGAGACCTCACTATTCAGTGAATAAATAACTAGGTTTATAGTTGTCTGATTTTGGCCAGTTATGTCTTATGAACTTTTGGACTGTAGACAGATTATATGTGTTCTAGCAGTGGGTTTAATACCTATTATAATTTTGTAACTATCATATAACTTTTATAATTTTGAAATAGTGATGAATATAAAAGAATTTTGAGATTCATGCAATCACTATAATGAGATATGAAAAATTTTCTGATTTCTGTGGTGCATGAGGTCACCAATTTTGGCCTGTTGCTAATCTCTGGAAAGAAATGCTAATTTAATAGCATTCAGTAAAAATAAAGATGAGATTGTTTTACCTCATTAAATTTGATAAACCTCTAAATTCAAGGGATCTATGGTCCTTGAAATTATAAACAATAAAATAAGATTCTAGCCACTTGCCATTCTTTTTCTTGAATCAGAGGTAGTTAAATAATAAGCCTGAAAAGAAAAAGGATGATCCTAAGTATATTTACCAATTATCTTTTTTTCTCTTAGTATCTGTAGGAAGAAAATAATTCTTTAAGTAGAGAGATGTTACTATAGGATGTAGAAATGATAGACCTAGTTAATTTTACCTCTGTTTACTTAGTAACTTTGGGTCAGTTACTATCAGTTAATGAAGATGAGAATCTCAAAAATTAACTGAAGTTATCAAAATGATGGCAGAATCCAGATTATTCTCATTACATTTGAGTAAAAGTGTCCAAGAGAGAGACGTGGGAAATAGATATAATGCAGTAATTAACACTACTAGTTTCTTCCATCTCTTTGTCCTGGGTAAAGTGGAAGATGTATTTTATTTGATATACATTTATTGAACCTGCATTAGAGACTGCAGAATAGGGTGTCTATTTGTTACTACCCTTCAGCTTACCTGAGAGATTAACCATTAGAGATTACTTCACACATTGTTTTATTATTTCTCTTTTTCTTGGTCTCTTATCAAAGATCTGAAATATGGTTGATTAACTGACATTTTCTGAGTGTCCCTCGAGAATCAAGGATAGGGCAGAGGAAATGGAGCAGTGTTTTTAGAGGAATACTGGAAAATTAAGGGGCTCTCTCTTCCTGATTTGTTTGAGGGATGGTTGAGTTTTCTCCATTGGTACCTGACTTACAATGTTAGCTTTATTTTAGAGAAAAACCAGGTTATCGGTATAATACTGCGTTATTCAACATAGTTGTCATTCGTTTCCTGCATGCTCAATAAAAATGAGGTTTCCTCAGAACTGTAACTGATCCTTCAGTGATATCTTTTAAAATTTTAGCTATCTTGAATGTACATGCTAAATATGAATTATGTACTTTATTTCTTAAATGATATACACAGAATACCAAAAGAAAAGGTATTATTTCATAGACCTGTGAAAATTACATGAAAAAAATGTTAAATGTGATACAAATGATTCCTATTATTTCTTTTGAACTTGGCAAAACTTAAAAGAAAACCTTGAATGTCAACAATATAATTTTTTAAAAGTAAATGTTTGTAGAATTATTGATGAATTATTTTAACCCTTGATTATTTGGCTCTCAAGGTTTTATAAGGGAACAATTCTCAGTTTGTTAAGTTATTCTATACATTTATTCCTCACACTAATTTTGAAGTTAATAAACAACGTAACTACCATTTCTTGCTGTCTGCATTGCCTATTCAATCCTTAATATCGCTTTATAACATGTTTTATACTTTTTAATGAAGGGCTTTGCACCACTTATCTCGCCTGAGAGACCTGGTTGATGATACCAGTGGGAAACAGTCACCGAAAATGTGAAGAGGAAAATAAAAGTCTAACCAATGAATAGTCACCGCAGAACAAAAATGTATTTTTTTCCTATTGCTTAAACCGACAAAGTAATTATAAGCCATATATTATTCTGATTGGTTCAATATTATATATTTAAAATACAAACAAACTTGAAAATATCCATAGGTTTTGTGACTTATCCTCATTTTGTGCCAAAATACTAGAATGTGAACTGGAAGGACCTGCACTGTGTCTGTCCTACAGTCTGACTTTGGTCTTCAGGCCAGCAGATGTCTAATGTTCAAAGATGGATGATTTCTGTTCTTGAAGCTCACACAGACTTAACCTTCTTCAGCATCCTCGCTGTTTTATCATCTGGTTCCAGACCATCAAAAAACTCTTCCTGGTTTCTATCCAAAATCTCTTAAGTGAGATGGACTTTTTGATACATTTGAATCCACTTTTAAGGAACTTAAAGAAATATCATATTTGTTACGGTGTATCTTGTCCATATAAAAGTATGTACTTTTAAGTTTCGTAAATCAAGTATTTAGTATCTGTTGTATTTGTGGATAACAATTTAATAATGGGGGTGGTTCAGGAATATTATGTTGTTAATCCAAGAGAACCTCATTTAATTATGCTTTGATTTTGAATCTCTAACATAATTTTGATAACACTCGACAGTTTACAAAATGTTTTTGAGAGGGATATTTAGAATTTAATATTTTGACATTAGATTATTTCTCAGATTTTAGTTTTGGGGTTAGCTCAAACTAGTAAAAACTATGACCACTTGCTTTATGAAGTTTTATAACTAAAAGAAAATGAATATGGGAAATCAGAAAACACAATTTCGAAGCTATTTTTTGAGAGGTGAACTTTCTTTAAAGCCATCTTTAGTCTTTAAAATTTGTCTCTACCAGGAAGTGAACAGAGCTCTATAATTCTACAGTTTCTACCAAGTGAACTTCTAATAAGCAGGAAGCATCTTTACAAGCAAAATTAAGAAATTATAAAATGTGACTAATGAAGCATATTAAAAAGTCTGATAAAATTAAAGAATGTCTGTGTATACAAATGCTACAAATTAACTTTACCCAAATGGCAGCATCTTTGCTGAGTAGTTTTATTGTCAAATAGGAATTTCTAAGTACATTGAGTCAAAAAATTTGCTTTCTGCCCCGCTCCAAATTTAAAGCACTATATAAGGCCTTTGTTACAGAATGTATGTGTGAACCCTGTCTTTTTTTTTTTTTTTTTTTGGACAGTGAGAGTCATCATACTGTTCTTTTTGCCCAGTTTGAGAGTCACCTGACAATAAGTTTGATTTATTTGCTCTGTGGAGGTATTTCTGCCCAGGACATTCTATTTTCTGGTTATAGTCTTCTCCACAGTTAATAGTTTGCATACAATCAGACAAGACATTACTTTGATAATTAAAATATGGCTAGCTGTTAAAAATGCAGATTTTTAAGTGGATGAACATCAGGTGGATCTGAGTTGATCATGCTACAGGCTTAGTGAAGTCCACTGTTAGACAAACTCTAAAGACAGAGAAGATAAAGACATCAGGTAATAAATTTCTAGTTATATATTATATGATGACCAGACATAATATGTAATATGTGTAGAAAGCATCTCCAAAGAGATTATTCCATATGGCTCTGAAGAGCACTGATTTGATTAGTGCTCTGATTTGTAAGAACGTATCTTCAATACTAAATAGGATAAGCTTGTTCTAAAATTTTGTTATAACTAATATTTTAAGAAACTTGATTATTTTTACCAAAGGAGTATTTTCCTTCTGTTAAATATGGAAGTTTAATTTGTAACCTAAAAAGTAAATAAATTTTACAAATGATTAATTCCAGCCTTTTAAAAAATACGTAGGAGAGTCAATTAAGAAAAAATCTAAATGATAAATGTTCAAGAAATGAAAGAATTGATTTAATTAAATGTTATATATTTTAGTATTTTTTATTTTGAGATTTCCAGGGATAAAAAACTGAGACTACGGTATTGAGACTGCTGAATTGGGAATTAAAGCCTATAATGCAAATAATTAGATTTTTAAAATATGGCGAATATAAAATGTTAATCTTTCTTTTTTGGTATATTAAAAAATGTTAAATAGAAGAATATTTTAAATATAAAACGTTAATCTCTCTTTTTTGGTATATTAAAAAATGTTAAATAGAAAGAAGAATATTTTAATAAGATATTTAAAATTTTTTAATTAAGTATGAAAAAACTTAAACCTAGTTCCAAAAATTATTTATTTCCGCTTCATAAAGATTTCTGACCAATTCGAGGAACTCTGTCTTCTGTTTGAGTTACATGTCTCTCGTTATGTATTTCTTGATGGAATTTATAAATGGCTTTTTTTGTATTTAATGTTTATGGATAATGTCTTGTTAAATTACATATAGGTATACCAAAATGTTGCCTGAAGATGAATCATGACAAGATTTCTTTTCCCCTACCTATATTTTGAATACATGAATCACTCATAGATCTGAATTTTTATTTCATTTTTTTACTTTTCACTCCGTCTCGAAACCTATTTTGTGGAAGTGCTACATGAAGTCAACATGTCAAAGGGCAGTAGTATGAAAGGAAACGAGAAGCAAAAGGCCAATAAAATTGATAATTTCTAAACAACCAAGGTTTTTCAGATGTGAAAGGCTGTATCATTCTATTCCATCTATCAGTTGATTGTTTCATAGGTGGTTATGTGTTGGGTTGCGTTGTAGTGCCTGTCATAATGAGTGGGGCAAACTTAGGCCTAGTCCTGAACACCCTGTATACAGCAGATTATATTGTTAGATATTTTTTCTATGATATTTGAAATTATCCCTTTCCTACCTCTCTGCTTCCTTTCTTTCCGTCTTCATAGTCATCTGTGGTTAAGAGCATTTTCCCTTTTTGAATTAAAAAAATCTTAGCTTTTTGTCCCCAGTTTATTCCACATTACCCTTACCCTAGACTTTACCTGTCTGTATAACAACCTTTCTCACGATGTAGTAACTTTTATCACAATGTAACAAATATACCTTATCCATCCTTCATCACCTTAACAGTCTAGTCCATTTGCCTCCTAATGCCTCCTTCAGCCTTTTAAATATTCCTCCCCTCACTTTCAAACTTTCCACTGAAGACAGGCTGACTGGTCATTGCAAGACACTGTTGTACACCACTCACCTTACTGGTTTATTTCAGCAAGTTTTCTGTGTCTAAGTTGCTTTACTCAGTTTCTCCCAAACTTTTAATATATATATTTTGTGCATATTATTTCTCATACTTGAAACACTCAATTTTCTTTCATTTTGCTTATCTAAAGCTTATTCTGCCTTTTTTTTTTTTTAAGCTCTGAGTATTGTATTTCCTTTTCTAAATATTCTAACCTTCCAAACTCTGGTAGGTTGGCTTTCCTTTTTCCTTCCCCTATCATTCATTTAGCTATTTCTTGTTTTATTTTGGAAGGGTTACTTTTTGATGTTGCTGCTGCTCTTTGTCAAATAAAACGAACATTTGTGTAAGCATTTTTGATAACTTAGGTGTAAGCTTTCTAACCATTTGAGCCCTCAAAACTAAGATATTTCAGTTTTTATATATTTTATGTTTTATCAGATATAAACTGTTACAGATCTAGCTCTAAGTCTAAGTCTAGGACACCTTTCAGTGGCTGGTTTTCATTCTGTTGCTTCTTTGAGCCTGGCTTGATGGGAAACTCAGTCTGGGTCCGATCTAGAAACAGAAACCCCACAGTAATTTTAAAGAAGGGAAGTTTAACGTAAAGTTTTAAACTATGACAAAAGAGATATGAGAACTTGATATGGTACCCCAGAGCTGAGGGGGAGTACCTAAGGAAGGACAGACAAGGAAGAGGGGTCCTCGGATTTGGGTTCAGACCTTGTTGAAGAAGAGGTGGTTGCAGCCCACTGGATGGCATAGTTTACTTGTTTACCCAGACCAGAGTTGGTCTTCAGTCACGAGGTTAGCAGAAAGCTGCTCTCCAAGATTCAGGAAAGCTGCAGCTGGTGACAGGGTATGTGGGCATGCAGGGGTGAACAGTTCCAGTGTTGGCAGGACTCCTGGGGCATGAGGCATTTGCATTGGGTGGAAGGAAAGTGATCACCAGCCTGGGCCTGGTCCGGGGGGTTGTCAAGTAGAACCATATATGCCGGATGTCTTCATACCCACCTTGTTTACTGATTGTGCAGCTACCAGAAAGCAGAAGGAGAGCCCCTTCATGGTGAATTTGGAGCTGAGAGACTAAGTTGATAACTGGCACAGAAACTGATCAGGTTCTAGAAAGGTTTTGGTGGGAAAGAACATCATAAGAGAAATACAAAATGCCTCACCTGTCTACCTCTGCCCTCCCTGTTTTGCAGCATGTGATGTGGCCTGTCCAAACCAAGTGGGCATAAAGGTGAGATAGCAAACATGTCAGGTCATTTAGAAAACAGGCACAGTGAGAAACCTTGGGTCTTTTTCAAAATCTAAGGAATCTGATAACTGCGAAAGTCGATAGTTGGGAACTAGGAATCTGGGACTGTTAGAAGTGTTCTGGAATTATATAAATGATCCTCTCAGAGATAATAGAGTGTATTCCTTCCATTGCTTTTCATCAAGGTGGCCACTTGCTTTCTAGGAATGTTTCTAGAAATGGCATGTTTCCTGCAGTTGAAGTGCTTTGTTTTGTATGCTTGATTCTTGCTTCAATTAAGCCACAGTTTGCTTTTCTGTGTAAGTTTGCTTTTCTGTGTATTCCACATATTGCTCTTAATTTTGCCTTTCAAAACAATCTCATGCACATTTCAATCTTCCTAATATTGAAACCAACAAAAGTAATGCCCCTTCCATCTTTTGGGTTAAGTGTTTCTAGGTTCTAAATTATTTCTTTGGGCAAAGTTTTATGTTTCTTTATTATTGTCTCACTTTTTGGGTTTTCTCTAGCTTTCAGTGTTCTGGTGTTTATATTTTTAAATTATCCAGAGCCCTACTTAATAGCAAAAGTAGAATATACACTTTTTTCTTTTTCAATTGAGATATAATAGACATATATTGGTTTCCGGTGTAAAAAAATGATTTGACAGTTGTATACATTGTGAAATGATCACCACAATAGTAGAGTTAACATCCATCCACTTTATTTTTTTCTCACTGCCACCTCTAGCTAATTTTTTTCAGCTTTATTGAGGTATAATTGACAATTGTAAGATTTTTAAAGTATACATCATGGTGATTTGAACTGCTGTTCCCTCACGCGCCAGTCCATTTCGTTTCCCACTTGGCCAAGATCGCTCTTCTAATGGTTATTTTATATACATTATGAAAAGATATCCCTCATTAATATATCCATCATCTCATATTTATCTTTGTCTTTTTTTTTTTTTTGGTAAATGGTTTTCATTTTTCAAAAATGTGGCACCAAATGTCCAAAATGCATAGAGTAAAATGAGACTCTGCATTTTAATAATTTATTACTCCATTCAACTAGCATTTATTTGGCTCCTGGCACTGTGCTAGATGTGTGTGAAGTTGAATGGAAGAGAAGGGAGTGTATGGGAGGGAGAGGTGATGCTGAATAAGAAGGCGTGACTCTTACGAACTCAGTGATGGAAACATATAAATGGATACAGTTTCACTACAACCAGGTAAGTACCGTTTCAGGTAAATGAAGATAGAGCAACTGCTGTAAAGGCACAGAAGATGGAGCCGCTAAGTGGCCTGGGGAAAAATCAGGAATAATTTTACTCCGGAGGGAATACTTGAGTTTACCTGGAAAAATGAACAAGTTTGCCATCAAAGAAATTGGAAGGTTATCTATTTTATGCAGAGGGTAATCCGTCCAGAGACTTGAGTGGTAAAAAGGTCCGATACAGAATTTATTGACTTGGGATGAGTATGTTGTGTGTTGTAGTGGAAGAAACTCGCTCTTTAATATCTGGCAGATTCTGTGCTTCCACCATTTATTAGCTATTGTGAATGAGGTACTTGACCTTGCCTGAGTCTTTTTTGTTTTCCCTCCCATTTTTAATAGGTGCTTTGCATTTTCGTTTCGAGGGTTAAAAGATGTTATGCCTCGCACATAAGACCTCAGTAAATAAGACCTGCTAATATGGTAATACAGCTAGTTTGCTGAAGCACTAGGAATAAGACATAAGGCTGCTGCCATTCATGCCTCCCCATTCAGATCCCCTCACTATACCAAGAATTATCCTTTAAAAACATTCCCATAATGTTACATCTCTTCTCAAAATTTCTAGTGGCTTCCCCACCTCACAGTAAATATGAATCTACTATAGCCTAAAAATCCTTGTGTGGCATGCGAACACCTCTCCTCACCCCTCAACTCCCAATCCATTTGCTCTGTGAGTCAGCCACATTGGTCTTGTTGATGCTTCTGCCTCCAAGCCTTTGCACTTTCCTCCATCTGGACAGTCTTTCCACAAATACCCCATGATTCACTCACTATCTGAGAGGCCTACCCTGACCCTCACCACTCCCCATACCATTATCCTTTGCCCTTTACGCCTACTTTCTTTTTCTTCACTTAATGTTGAAGGTGCCGTTTTCATCCTCCAGAACCAGGATAGTGCCTAGCAGTGATTGAAATCGCTACATAAATATTTGTTCTCTGAATGAGGCTGAGAAAGTGGCTTTGGGGCCTATCTCAGGCACTTGAGTATGCGCAGCTAAGAATTTTGTATTGTGTTCTGTGGGCAAAAGGGGCCCAATGGTTTTGATACAGCCTAAACGAATATTAACTTTTTTGTTAGTCACCGTGTTGATTTGTGTTTGCAGTCAAGTTGAACTTTTTTCCAAATGCTAAAGCCAATCATTTCCCTTTCAGTAGTTC